CTATATACATCAATTTAATAACAAAGTTTTAGAAAATTTCTTAAAATTAAAAAAAAAAAAATCTTGATCATTTTAAGCATTGCATTATTAAAGATAAAGGCCACACTTTACTTGCTGCAAAGTTATCACAATTTAAGCACATTTCAATAATTTGAGAGTACTTGACTCCAGTTTTGTTTTGTTTGGTAGAAATTTGTTGATGGATAATGTCAAATCATGAAATGAAATAAACAAAATTGCCTGTGCAACATTATCACAACTTGAAACCTGATAAATATTTGAATATTGTTTACTGGGTTCAAAACAGACAACATGTCTAATTTCTAATGTCTGGACATATAACAAGAACTGTCGGAGGACAGTAACGCTCGACTATTCGAAAATTTGTCACAAGGGTGTTTTATTGAGTATCATAATGCTTACCTATATGAATACATAAAATTGTCCGAAAAGGTACAAACCCTTCAAGTTTCATTACATTCCCTTCAGTAGTTATGGAGATACAAGCTAACACAAAAACTTAACCAAGAATTTATGAATCGAAAAAGGGACATAATTATGCAAAAAGTAAATCAAAGTTATGGGACTTGTGCCAATCATCTTTGATAATCACAGACAACAAGAGTGTGACGTTTCAATCCATTCCCTTCAGTAGTTATGGAGATACAAGCTTACACGCAAAAACTTAACCAAGAATTTCTAAGTCGAAAAAGGGGCATAATTATGTAAAAAAGCAAATCAGAGTTATGGGACTTGTGCCAATCATCTTAGATGATCACAGAGAACAAGTGTGTGAAGTTTCAATCCATTCCCTTCAGTAGTTATGGAGATACCAGCTTACATACAAAAACGCAAACAAGAATTTCTAAGTCGAAAAAGGGGCATAATTATGAAAAAAAGTAAAATCAGAGTTATGGGACTTGTGCCAATCATCTTAGATAATCACAGAGAACAAGTGTGTGAAGTTTCAATCCATTCCCTTCAGTAGTTATGGAGATACAAGCTTACATACAAAAACTTAACCAAGAATTTCTAAGTCGAAAAAGGGGCATAATTATGAAAAAAAGCAAATCAGTGTTATGGGACTTGTGCCAATCATCTTAGATAATCACAGAGAACAAGTGTGTGAAGTTTCAATCCATTCCCTTCAGTAGTTATGGAGATACCAGCTTACATACAAAAACGTAAACAAGAATTTCTAAGTCGAAAAAGGGGCATAATTATGAAAAAAAGTAAAATCAGAGTTATGGGACTTGTGCCAATCATCTTAGATAATCACAGAGAACAAGTGTGTGAAGTTTCAATCCATTCCCTTCAGTAGTTATGGAGATACAAGCTTACATACAAAAACTTAACCAAGAATTTCTAAGTCTAAAAAGGGGCATAATTATGAAAAAAAGCAAATCAGTGTTATGGGACTTGTGCCAATCATCTTAGATAATCACAGAGAACAAGTGTGTGAAGTTTCAATCCATTCCCTTCAGTAGTTATGGAGATACCAGCTTACATACAAAAACGTAAACAAGAATTTCTAAGTCGAAAAAGGGGCATAATTATGAAAAAAAGTAAAATCAGAGTTATGGGACTTGTGCCAATCATCTTAGATAATCACAGAGAACAAGTGTGTGAAGTTTCAATCCATTCCCTTCAGTAGTTATGGAGATACAAGCTTACATACAAAAACTTAACCAAGAATTTCTAAGTCTAAAAAGGGGCATAATTATGAAAAAAAGCAAATCAGTGTTATGGGACTTGTGCCAATCATCTTAGATAATCACAGAGAACAAGTGTGTGAAGTTTCAATCCATTCCCTTCAGTAGTTATGGAGATACCAGCTTACATACAAAAACTTAACCATAGGGACGCCGACCCCGACAAATGGGTGACTCCATTAGCTCGATTATTCTGCAAATAGTCGAGCTAAAAATTCTTATCAACAGCTCATAAATTCAATTAATGTCTCCCTTTATTTAAATGTGATAACTTCTTACCTGTACTTTCTTCACATTTCATAATAACATGGATTATAAAATCTGTCTAGAAAGCTGGTCAAGGAATAAATATATGAGTTGCCTCCCTTCCACTGATAATATATGTAACTTCTCAATCCTGAAGTCAAGAAATAGATTATGTAGACACATTTTTTACATATTTTTTATACTTTTGATATCATCTTTTAAGGGATTTGTTTCATGTGACATCTTTTAAAGATAAAATAAAAGGAAGAGTTGTAAATATATATTAATGTTAATGACCAGAACCCACAAGTATAATGCTTATAAATGTTCATTTAATCTTTTTCACAAGTATCAAATTTATATATTCACAAATTATTTATAACTGTTCTAAACTAAGAATTAATGAATTTTGTGTTAATTAAAACTAACTTTCTACAACAATGACAAACTTTGCATTTGTGAAAAATGCTATGCCTCCGCATTAATACAACACTTAATAGTAGTGTAGGAACAGAGTTTTTTTTTGTTTCTATACAATTGAAGATTGTCATAATGCATAGATCTATCTAATCTTATTATCAGATTAGTGGTTAAATCATTATTCAAATAAAAGTTCAGAGTAGGAATATATCAATGCATTTGAGTTTAATGAATTTAGTGGTGAAGGTCAGATTAAATTTCATGACTACATCAAAGGACAGCACAGTCAAAATCTAGGTCAGCTGATATCAAAATTCTTCTTACATCTTAATCTGTGCACATGGCTCAAATTTCATAGCTGTACATCAAAGGACAAGAAAGTAGGTCACATCATCAAAATCTAGGTCACCTGATATCAAAGTTCAATTTTCAAAGTCTCGTGTAAAATATTTAACCTCTAGCCTTTGTCAATTCAAAGAAGATTTTTCAAGTTTTTACTTTATACATGTAAGGAAAACTATCGCCTCTTGGGCAGGGCAATTTAATCAAAACAACTTTAGTAGAGAACCCATAGATAGATGATATTATATACCAAATATCAAAGCCTTGTACCTTCAGACAATAAGATTTTTCAATTTTTTACTATATGTACATATTGAAAATCAATGACCCCCAGGGCAGGCCCAATTTTGACTCAAGGGCTATATATTTTGAACAATATTGTAGTGACCTGAAATTTTCAACTATAACTGTAACATAACTGAACTACATGAACTCAACTCCTTACCTTAATTGACTTGAACTTGAGAAATTACTTTTCTTCTAATCTTTAATAGTGAGGATATGTTGACATTTTCTAGCCATAAAACTTATAATGAGCTGTGTTTTACTAGAAATCAAAACACCAACCCATGTATACGGGTTATGAGCCAGATTTAATCTATCCTTTTTGGCTCCAACCACAACCACTTTAGTAAACCAACCACTTTAACCACTTTATTTTGGTTGGAATTTGTCTGGGTATAAAAGGGCCCGGATTTTTGGTTGAATGGGAGAGTCTTGACCAGAACTTTAGAGGCAAAACCCCGTTTTGTTGAGATACAAATTTGAACGGAAAAATTTATAAGTGCCGTCTGCAATTTTACGTACTAAAGTAATTAAACTATTCTTGATAAATAACGATTTATTTATTCAGATTTAACAGTTCTGAGCTATTTTCTAGATATTTAATCTTTATTACACGTTTTTTATTAACACTTTACTGTTTGAAATAGATTATTTAACTGCTTGTTAAATTTGGTCACGGTTCACTGGTACGCTATTTTTCCGTGTGTTGAGTATTAAAGAAGGTACATGCGTTAGATATTAAGATACATTAAATTAAGGGAGATATAATTTAGAAAACGGTTTTAACATTAATAGGACTTGAAACTCTGATGATTTCTACTACAAACTTTTACTTACTTACATTATCGTATTGAATCTGTTGCTGAATGATAAAAATACAATTGTGCTCATTTGTTGACAATTTATTATTTTGTTATTGTAACTTTGTTTTATAAACAAAATAAACTTTGCAATTTACTACTGGAATAATTACTACTGGAATAAACAGTGTTTAAATCGTACAGAGAATTTATTTATCTATATAGAGCTAGTTATCCGTTAAAATTATAGGTGAGCAAAGTAGATATAAAATAGTAATCACTATAGAAGTTAACTGTGTGGAACCAATCAACTCCCTTTACAGACTACATAAATAAACCTCTACTGAGAGAACACTACCAAAGGTTTTACCTCACGGCCTAGACCGTGACAATATTGGTAGAGGTTTACAACACAATGTTTCATGCAAAATATCTAACCTCTAGCATTTGTTAATTGCTAGAAGAATTTTTTTTCAAGTTTTACCATTTACATATAAGGAAAACCTATGACCCCTGGGGTGGGACTGATTTTGACACTAGAGGCAAAATTTGAACATCTTTGGTAGAGTACCTATAGATAATAACACATACCAAATATCAAACCTCTAAGCCTTGTACCTTCAGACAAGAAGGTATTTTAAGTTTTTACTATATGTACATATAGTGAAAATCAATGACCCCATAGGCCTTTTGGGTCTTTACAAGAAGATTTTTTAAATTTATTCTTATAATTCCTTTTGGTTGCCATGACTTCTGCATGGAATGAAATTCTTTGAACAACTTTGGAAGCCCTGCACCCAAGGATCAATCCTGCCAGGTTTGGTTGAAATTGGACTAGTGGTTTTTCACAAGAAGATTTTTTAAGTTCACTATATAATCAATAGAACACACACACAAACACACACAGGTGAATCGTTATATGCGGTGGCATAAAAAAATTCTACAGCTTTCTAATCAAACAAGACAACTTTGTAATCTTCTTGTACATGAAACATTTCTACATAAAATACTGTTCAAACTAACATACCTTCCCCCCCCCCCCCATTAACACAGCTTCTCAATCTGTTGCATATTTAAAATATTTTTGTATCACTTCCATTTCTCGATCCTTCTCGTTCAAATGTTATTTTTATTTCTCAATATCATAAATTCTTTGAATATAAATCACTTTATACAAATTTAAACATCTACCTTACTTTTTCAGTTACTTTGTTGACAAGCTGGTCAAAAAATCTGAATTAAAGTTGCCTCCCTTGCACTGTAAATAAATATACAAACTAAGTCTTGCAAATATAAGATTTTTGTAAAAGAAAAAATAAAAACTAAAAAACAATGCTCAACAAAAACAACATGACTATATAAACTATTTATGTTGCAACTTTTTTTTCATCCGTAAAAAAATAAAATACATGTACATGTGTATAGTAACTATGAAGTTTAAAGTTGTGTGTGATTTTACAAACTTGCAATAAAATTGTGTGCAATTTATTGACTTTACATTTAAAAAAAATTGTACAGAAATAACAAAACTCTTAAATAGTTCATATTGTGAAGTTAATCTACACATTTCAGTATTCATATTTTAGTTTATATTACATACTTACATGGGGCGTCCGTGGCCGAGTGATTAAGGTTGTTGACTTCAAACCGCTTCACCGCTGTGGGTTCGAATACTGACAATGACTGGATTCTTTCATGTGAGGAAGCTTTCCACCTAGCTAATGGAACTTGGGTGGTTCTACTCAGGTGCCCGTTCGTGTATGAAATAATGCATGGAAGGGCACCTGAGGTCTTCCTCCACCAGTAAAGCTGGAACGTCACTAAATGACCTATACTGAGACGGTGTGACGTAAAGTCCAATCAAACAAACAAACATACTTACATGAACAAGCATTCTTTACTAAAGTATGGTTTTGTAAGCTTACCAGTTTCTTGGAAAAACACAAAATGCCCCTGGTGAATAAAAAAGCCTGTAGACATAAATAAAATTAAACCAACATTTACCATATGCCTGTCACAATTTTGTTTTGTTTCATAGGCTCTTGTAGATGATTTTCTTGTTGCTTTACTTTCCTTAAAACAACATGGATTTTCCATTTCTGGCTGTTAAGTTTAAGAATCCAATTATCTGGAGAAATGAAGACATCAGAAACCCAACCTGAAATAATTAAAGACCAATAGCATAAAAATTTATACTTATGATGAAACTCCCAACATGCCATATAATAACTATGCTTATTTTGATCCACTAAAAGTCAATTCTCCTGAGCCCATGATGAAACTGGATTAGAAGTTATAAAACAGAATAAATCACCCATATTTTGAAAACTTTCCCTTACTTAACTGTAAATATATGTTAATTCTTTTAACGCTTTGTGTAGAGAGAATCGTTGATTTTAAAACTTACAGTAAACTCCACTTACAACACAATGTTATTTTTTTGGTCCTACTCTCGACTTTCGACTATCAGATATACTTATAGATATAATTATATAAATTCAAAGGTCCCCTGAATATCATTATTAGCAGAGTTTACTATAGACAAAAGCAACCTTTTTTTGTGGTATTTATTGCAAATAACTCATGTTAAAATTGTCAATTAGTTTTTTATTGTAACAATCTTCTTCTGATTGATAAACAGATCAGATCATGAACAAGAACTACTATTAGAAGTCATGTTTTGTCATTGTATTTTACGTCATGGTTCACAACTCTTCTTTAAGGGGGAAATTGTGTAAGCAGCCAGATAGCTCAGTCGGAAGAGCAAGGGAACAGTATTCTGAGGGTCTCGTGTTCGAGTCCCGTTCAGGCTGCACATTTTTCTCAGTCAACAATGAGTCAACAAGGTCACAATGAGTTCAAATTTGAAGTTTTCAACATGCCAGTTTTGCAATTAGTTTTAAACTTAACAATTTAAGAGAAATTCAATATGACTTTGACAGTTAAATATGACTAGACAGCGGGCAAAATCTGATTTAGACTTACTTGTCTGTTTTTCTGTGAATCATTATTAAACTTGACTGTCACAATATGGACTATGATGTCACGTTTCTTATGTCCTGTTGAAAGCACTTTTCCCCGGTGGCATAACTCAAACAAATATTCACTGATGCTTGAGATGTGACACTTCAAAGCAGAAAGATCGATTCTGTACTGTCCACAGAATGTATATCCAGGACTGTGGATATGGGGTCTCTACGTCACAATCTCTAGATGTGACTTGTCCAAAGCAGAAAGATATATTCTGTACTGTCCACAGAGTGTAGATCCAGGACTGTGGATGTGGGGTCTCTACGTCACCATCTCTAGATGTGACTTATCCAAAGCAGAAAGATATATTCTGTACTGTCCACAGAGTGTAGATCCAAGACTGCGGTGCTACGTCATAATATCCACTATCGTGGCTATGTTGAACACATGCGTGATACAAAATTGAGGGTGAATCCTCCGAGTAGAAGCTACAAAAATATAAAACATGATAAATATCAATGGTGCACAAATACAAGGGTATAAGTATTATGTCCCTTCAGAATAGTCGGACCTTTAATGTAGGATTCCTATGAAAAGCTTCTAAAAATTTAATGTTCTTTATGGAACGCCATACACACTGGTATAATAAATTCAACATTGATTATATATCGTAGCACGTTGTAAGATATAAAACTTGAAGCCAGACCGGATGCCACCTAAATATCGATGAATCTATATTAATTTGTACAAAAAAAATAATGATGATGTGATATGAAAATTACTTAAAGAAATAAGAATTATCTAAAAAAAAACATCTGCAGCAGACTTAATTACAAAGGACTTACTTTATTAAACAAGAAAATGAAAACTTATTTAAGTAGATATAAATGAGACATATGCATAATAAAATAACGTGCACTCAAGGCGTTAACAGCCTTCCATACATAAAACAACTATCAATGACAATTTAGTGTCCAACTGTATTTCTTCAAATTCTGTTCATAGTCGCCTTCTATTTTTCATTGTGCTTTGTAAAAATAAAAATTTGCATAAATGTGCACATGCGCAGCAGCTTTCGTGTAAAAATGTCAAAAGGTGTATAAATGGTATCAGGTAACAATTATCCAACTCATCAAAAATGTTTTCCGAAAATAAAATAAATGTTTCAATATCAGGCAAATGGAAACGCGCATCATCCATATGCCACCTTCATATTACAAGGGTTACATGTGTCTTCGCGCGCAGTGACGTAAATCATGCATATTTATAAGGTGAAATTTAAACCCACCATTTAGGTACTTAATTAATAAAGCGGACTGGTTGTGACGTAAAAAAATGAAAAAATGAATATTAATGAGGCCAAAGAAAGTTTGACACTAAATATGTTAGTATTCATCCGTATATGTTCTATAGAAATTAGAAACATTCTCCGGTAGCTGTCGCTCCCGTTGAAGTTTCTAATTTCTGTAGAACAGCACGGATGAACACTTACATATACAAACAGATTACCAATATTACATTTGCCAAAGTTGAAAACTAAAAATTCTTTTACTAAGTAAATTTGACAAGAACTTTACAAATACTGAATAAATCCACAAGCAAACCCCTAAGGTTTAATGCCTCTATGTCAAATCCTTTTTGAGTTACATAAGACATGAAAATTGCAAAAATTAAAATAAGTCAAGGGCAATAACTCTGAAAATACTGAATAAATCCAGACGAAAATATCCAGATGCACAACTGCACATGCTGATTAACATTACTTTTTGAGTTACGTGCGACACAAAAGAGAACTGACGGACGGATGAAAGGATGTAAATCTAAATGCCCGCAACTAAAAAACTTAAGTGCACAAAAACATAAAAGCAACTTAACTTAAAACTTTAGATGATTGTGAAAACTATTAAGGCTATGGCAGAACTTTTCAATACAAATCGATGCTAAAGTTAATTCACGTGCTGATCAAGAAATTTTTCAGAGCAGCTCTGTCATTTTACAACAAATTCTAGAACTCTTGGCAAATTAGCTTATGCCATTGGTATAAACGTTAAGAAAAGTTCAAGAATGTTCTTGCAGCTTAAACAAATAAATGTATCATTCTTTGATAAAAGACTACAGAGTACAAGCAGTCTAGATACTTCATGAGAAAATGCGTCCAACATCAGACTGAATTTCTGGACTTGCTTCTTCACTCTGGAGTAATCTTAAATCTCAGTAAAGAACACAATTATGCTGAAAATTTCTGCCATTGCACATAAAGTAATTGACTTAATACTTTAGTGACCTTGCATAGTAAAAATAAGCTTGCAACTTTCTAGTTACCTTACAAAATACATCCCTTGTACCCATGCTGGCCAACATATTCATCAGAATGTTTACAAACCATTCTATTATTATTTACAATGGGTGGCTCATAAAACAAATGATTAAAATTTATACACGTTTTTACATGGCAAATATGAGATACATGCATTGTTGGATTTAAAAAGAATTTGCCCTCTAAAGATAAATTATACAATAATCGGTGGGCTGCAAATCAAATTGTTTTATCTTTTATTGTTACACGAGCCACCTCGTAACCGCCCCCAAACCAAATTTTGCAGCCCTTTTCATTTACAAATGACCTTTCATCGAGAAATTTTTGACTCAAAACTTCAGTGGCCAACACCTTTACCAGAATTTTTACAAACCATTCTATTATTATTTACAATGGGTGGCTCATTAGACAAATAAAGTAAAAGTAAGTAATTGCATTTTATAGTCTAAGTTTCATGCTTACGCACATTCACCGACATTACAGCTATTACCATGGTCATTGGGCTACTGGTATCTATCTTTCAATTGGGCTACTGGTATATATCTATCAATCTCCCTAGGGTGTCTTTTAACTCCGCTTATTGCAGCTGACACTTTGGCGCAACTGAAATATACCACCCTCGCAGGTACCCATTTACACCTGGGTGAAGTGAACCAATTACAGGTAAATTTCTTGCTCAAGGAAATTAGCAATGCCCCTGGTGGGGCTTGAAACCAGGACCTCTCAATCCCTAAGCCCGCATCCTACCACCAGACTACTGCTCCTAAATTATTAAAATTTGTACACGTTTTTACATGGCAAATGAGATACATGCATTGTTGGATTTAAAAAGAATTTGCCCTCTAAAGATAAATAATACATTAATTGGTGGGCTGCAAGTCATTTTTTTTTATCTTTTATTATTACACAAGCCACCCCGTAATGGTACAAGTACAAAGGCAATTTTTACAGACCTTTTCATTTACAAATGACCTTTCATCGAGAAATTTTTGACTCAAAACATCAGTGACCTTGCATAGTAAACATAAGCTTGCAACTTTCTAGTTACCTTACAAAATACATCCCTTGTACCCATGCTGGCCTACACATTCACCATAATTTTTACAAACCATTCTTTTATTATTTACAATGGGTGGCTCATAAAACAAATGATTAAAATTTATACACGTTTTTACATGGCAAATATGAGATACATGCATTGTTGGATTTAAAAAGAATTTGCCATCTAAAGATAAATAATACATTAATCGGTGGGCTGCAAATCAAATTGTTTTATCTTTTATTGTTACACGAGCCACCCCGTAATGGTCTCGGTCAACCGCCCCAAGCAAAATTTTACAGCCCTTTTCATTTACAAATGACCTTTCATCAAGAAATTTTTGACTCAAAACTCCAGTGGCCAACACATTCACCAGAATTTTTACAAACCATTCTATAATTATTTACAATGGGTGGCTCATAAGACAAATAAAGTAAAAATAAGTTAAATTGCATTTTATAGTCTAAGTTTCATGCTTACGCATGTTCACCGACTTTACAGCTATTACCCTGGTCAATGGGTTACTGGTATCTATCTATCAATCTCCCTGGGGAGTCTTTTAACTCCGGTTAATGCAGTCAACACTTTGGCGCAACAGAATTATACCACCCTCGCAGGTACCCATTTTACACCTGGGTGAAGTGAACCAATCACAGGTAAATTTCTTGCTCAAGGAAATTAGCAATGCCCCTGGTGGGGCTTGAACCCAGGACCTCTCGATCCCTAAACCCGCATCCTACCATTAGACTACTGCTCGTAAATGATTAAAATTTATACACGTTTTTACATGGCAAATATGAGATACATGCATTGTTGGATTCAAAAAGAATTTGCCCTCTAAAGATAAATAATACATTAATTGGTGCGCTGCAAATCAATTTTTTTTTATCTTTTATTGTTACACAAGCCAACCCGTAATGGTCTCAGTCAAAAGCCAAATTTTACAGCCCTTTTCATTTACAAATGACCTTTCATCGAGAAATTTTTGACTCAAAAATTCAGTGACCTTGCACAGTAAACATAAGCTTGCAACTTTCTAGTTACTTTACAAAATACATCCCTTGTACCCATGGTGGCCAATACATTCACCAGAATTTTTACATACCATTCTATTATTATTTACAATGGGTGGCTCATAAGACAAATGATTAAAATTTATACATGTTTTTACATGGCAAATATGTGAAACATGCATTGATGGATTTAACAAGAATTTGCCATCTAAAGATAAAAAATACATTAATCGGTGGGCTGCAAATCGAATTCTTTTAGCTTTTATTGTTACACGAGCCACCCCGTAATGATCTCGGTCAACCGCCCCAAGCCAAATTTTACAGCCCTTTTCGTTTACAAAAGACCTTTCATCAAGAATTTTTTTTAAATCATTAACTTGACTTTCACTTGCAACATTCTGAAAGAATATGTTGGCCATTTTCTGTACTGAAATAAATTAAATGTCTATTTTTTAAGTGATGAAAATTGTATGAAAATATTGACACATCAAGTATGTAAATGATAATAATCATTCTACTGTGTGTTTACCTACTGAAAATATGTGTCTTTTCGCATAAATTTTAATTGATATGCAAGCACAAATTTGCTTTCTCGCATTCTCGAACAATTCAGCTATTTGAATTATCTCCCTTTTTAAAGCTTCTTTGAAGTTTCTTGAAGCTACCTGTGATATCACAGTGTCCAAACTCATCAATGCTTTAGTTGATTTGTTTAATATTTAGAGTTGATAAACTAATTTGGAAGATGAAATTTGAACTTTGAAAAATTATCATCTTACCTTAAGGTAGCACTCTACACTAAATTTCCTATTTGGGCCTTCTCTGACCACAAACAAAATGTAAACGCTTCCACCCGTGAATGTATAAAACCTGAAAAAAAAAAGAATCATTTCATTAACAACATATCAAACATAACATTGCAAATCAACATCTTAATTGTCACAAATATTGTGGTAGAACTATACATGGAACTGTGATTCATTCGGTATTCGCCGAAAATCAACTGTGGTCCGAGACCTAAAAAAACAATTTCTGTCAAAAAATTACCTGCAAATATAGCAGCTATAGAAACACTGTTTCTCTCTTAGCAAATCCCTATACATGCAGAAAATCACAAATAAACAGGTGCTTGGCCTTGCAGATTTTTTTGCAACTGATGAAAATATGTACCCCCTTGAAAAATGTATTGATAATTCCGAGCCTGCAGTTGAAATGCACTGTATGCAGTAAAACGGGGTTCTTGACAGTATCTGCCTGAACAATTTATTACTAGCCCTATTTTCGGAAATTTGCCAGTTCATATTAGATGTTACAAAACCAAATCTGATGCAAACAATCATTTAACTCTTTCCAAACTGTGGCTACATTTAGTGTGGTGTGCTGCCTACGCACCTTCCTGACCATACATATCACGGTCCCTAGACACATAACACAATGAGTAGCTTAATACAGTTAAACTGTATAGCCGAAATAGTGGGGCGGATTGAACAGGTTCACATCAGACAGGAAGTCACTGAATACAGTGGGTCACTATGGCAGTATTGACATTATTGACAATGACCTTTCGTTGGTGATTGTCTGATTCCAAAGAATAACTTAAAGATACCAACACAACCCAGCCTCTATGATAAGGATTTAAAAGTCTTTGTTTTAAAGTGAAGGTTGTAGATTCGAAACTTAATGAAACATTATGTTTGTTTGTGTGTTTTTTATTATATTTTTAGAAATTACTTCTTAGTTTTTGCGCATGCCAAATCAAACAATGTACGACTGTACAAATTGAAATTATGAAACTTTAGAAATATAAATCTACATAATTATCAAAAGTAGGAGTTTTTTTAAGAAAAAACATAAGAAATCAAAGAAATGATTTATCGATTAATGCTGCATATTAAAGAAACCTTACAAAAAAATTTTGTGAAGAATTCAAACTTGCAACTTGGCTTTAACACTAGGCCATCTAATATAAAATAAAGTATTGACAACTTCCAATCATTAAAAATAATAACTAAATCACAAGAAATTACAGAAATTTTCCAAAATTAATAAAAACAATGCTTGCCAGCAGTAAAGCATTGATAACTGGCTAATACAGTAAACAATACAGGGGTGGTGCATTTCTTATCTAAGGGGTGTCATGGTTAGAAAAAATGCTAACCGTTTAAACGGCAATGTAATAACAGTGCTAAACGTTTAACCGACCGTACTTATAAAATTAATATTGAATTTTCTAACCAGAATTTAGCTAAAAACCAACAGTACCCTTTAAAACGGATAAACGTGACACCCCTATTTCTTACTGTAGATTAGTTACTGTTATATTAAACAACAGCAATTGGCTCTTTATTACTAGAGTGATGTGATATGAATGAAGGTATTACTTATACATGTATAACTGTTAAACCCCTGAAACTGTTGTATATCTTAGATTTCAACTGAAAATTCCATATTCATTTGCATTTTTAGCAAAATAGAATGATGCTAAAATATAGAATGATATATACATATACATGTGTAGTGACATCCTCCTTTGAAATGTGATCATTAATGATATCATAATGTATTGCCTTGTGAGTTACTACAGTCTTTATGAAAATATTAGGGCAAATTATTTATTATTTTAGTGCAAGACTGTAGTAACTACATAGTTACTAAAGTCTTGCGTTGAAATGGAAGAAAAAATTTCATTTCTTTTTAAGTGTTTTAAGTGTAAAACTGTAGTAAGTCCAGTTACAACAGTTTTGCAGAAAAAACAATTTTATTGGTTGATTTACTACAGTAGAGTATTTATAAAAATTTTATCAAATGAAGTAAAATAAAAACAACAAAAATTACCACATGCTGTAAAATACCAAATAATACCGGAAATTAAAAAAAAAAATCATTTTCAGAAAAAATGGTAGTTACTACAGTCTTGCGCTTAACCCTAGATATACTCCTGGTTTGGACTGATTAAGACTAAAAGAATCACCAAATCTTGATGTTAAAATTGATTTTTTGCTCTTTGTAAAATATTGAACCTGTTCATGTCAATTTTAATCTTTCTCACACACAGAAGTTTGTTATTTAACCCTTTCCCTCATATTGTGAAAAAATAAGAATCAAACTTGGCACAAACGTTGACTGGACCATTGCCTTTGTAACAACATGCTCAGTCTTAAATTTCCTGTTACCATGGCAACGAGGGGACATCTCAAAATTGCCAAAAATCACTGTTTTGCCTTGAATTTTTCCATCAAAATTTATTTCAAAGTGCATTTTTAGCCTCTCACAAGTCCAAAATTTTCTTGACAATGAGGGGGACTCCGCTCCCCTTCAAACCCCCCCCCCCAAACAGAGGGGGGCATGTGTTAGTGGCCAAAATAGGACATTTTTTCACTATTTCAGGCCTAACAAAAGGAGGATCGAAAGTGCGTTGTTTCGCGTATATATGAAAAATAGAAAATATCAAAAAAATTAATGAAAAGAATTTTACCTTTCCTACTGACACTGGCTTTCTATTCCTTAAAGTTTTGGCAGTGAAAGAGATGTTCAAGGAATCTGTTTTTTTTTCTTACTTGTGATATACCTTTGTGTTGAAATGATACATACACCAACTGAAATATATAATTAAGATAAACAACATTAACAAAATTTTGCATCTGCAAAATTATTAAAAGTCAAACTTTGCTTATTAATTAGCGGTATAATATTTTTATTACAGATTGAATTTTTTTTAAATGTAGGAAAATTACAATATGTAAGATAATACATAAACTACATTCCCATTACCTATCCTTTCTTAACTATATTGCCAGTTCACTATGCTGTCATAATTGTTAAAAAATCCTAAAAACACCCAAACATTCACATTTGGTTAAGTGATTGACAGGTGCATTTTTTCAAGGTAGATGAAATAAACATCATTTTATGTAAATTTCACCTGAGGTCAAACAGTTTAACTGTACATGCTAGAAAACTTATTTTTACATTGTGAACAATAAAAGTAACTGTTGTTGATAAAATTTAAAACCTATTCATTTCCCTACCCTTTTGTTGGCTAACCTAACCAAGATTTATTTACAGAGCTTTAATTTTCCAAAATGAAATGCTCCCATTTTCAGGGGGGGGGAGGGGGGAACACTGTAGATCACAAGGAGATATTTTTTAAAATTCATATAACAGTTTTAGTCACTAATACTGTATAAACAACAGTGAACAATTTTTTAGAAACAGATGCCTCATTTTTTATGTTATGAAGTTTAATCCAGTAAAAAAATAAATACTAGTGTGACGAATTTTGATTGGACATAAAGACTTTTTAGGACTGTATAGATTTATAGGAATTAAAGGTTTATTTGGACTAAGAGGAATAGCTTTTACCTATATAAAGAGACGTTATGATCTGTGTTAGGTGTTAGTGTGTTTGAAATCATTCAGTTTATAATTATGTTATTTTGGTTGTTGTAATTGTATGGAATACTTGATAATTGGTGGAATAATACTTTTATTTTACACAGGAGAGTTATTATTTATTGAGTTCTGATAAATCCTCGCACAGAGAACCACGAAGCGTTACAACTAGTAATAAACTAGAAATGTGTCGTCACCCCACAGATACCTGCACGCAGCCGAAATTTCAGATGTTATTATATTTAGTTCCGAATTTGTTTGCACAATTTTTTTTTTTATTTTAAGTTAAAAGTCCTTAAAACTCAATGTTAACACAAACCATAAGTCAAATTTGAATGTGTAATACCTTTACTAAACTAATGAACGGAACAATGTCCATATCATGCTTCAATATTTATAAGAGTTTCATTAATTATCGTAACAAGTAAACTTGGTCTTAACAAAACTGCCAAGTTTTTTTTAATGACACTATATATTACACCTTTAGTGTGTAGAATAATTTTATACATATCTACTTTGTGTGAAGTCAAAACATGTTATTTTATACATACAAATATATAGCAATTCTAAATATTTTCTAATGTCAAATTTCAACAAAGTACACCTATAAACTATATCACTTCCAGTGATCACTTGAAAATAACTTGATTACAAATTAAGATTTTTTTTTAAAAGGACTGATAGTCTGAAAAAATTTAGTGGTACAGTACAGTTGCTTACATACACCTATTAGACTGAGGGTAAATGGTAAAAAACTGTAGCCCAATAAAAAAGTTAACATGCTTTGATTATTTTTATCTCTATTCTAAACAAGTAACTATTTTGATATAGTTAGTCGGACAATTTTTTCATAAAGCAAACAGTTTTTTAGTGTTTTTCTGGCATCTGGCAATTAATCAAGTATGGCATTTCTTCAGGAGTTGAAGTATATACAACTTGACGCTGGACAGCCTGCATTCCACCTATTTTAGCGGTTTAATTCTTTACTTTTATTGGTATTGAATTGTATCAGCTTTAAGAACAATGTTTCTCTTTAAGTTAGCCAAGTATTTATTTTGCCAAAGTCAATGAGATACTTTTTCAGTAAGCATTAAATTATTTTTGGTTTCGATTATAAATTTATAATGTTAAAAATTGGGATGACGGTGTTATGCATGCTTGTATAATGTATTAGGCATTACAAATACATGAAATACAAACAAAGAGACAGTTTTTTCGTGTTATTTTTGTCACATACTCCCTTTCTTTATTTTAAATTATTTCAGATACAGAATACATGTATTTGAATATAAGCAACAATTGTCATTAGCTATAGTCTGATTTTATTGACCTGTCAATTATGAATACATTATAGCACTCATTTACATATTCGATCCCACTTCGGTTTTTTCCGTTTATTTTACGAGAATTAATATGGAGTGTATCACTTACGTTTGGAAAACTCTCACTAGATTAATGTAGGTTCTTGTAACATCCGCAATAGCACAGTCGGTTAAGTGATTACCTAATGCATGAGGGGTCCGAGGTTCGATCCCCTTTTTTGACATTCTTTTTAGACTTATTCTTTCTTTATTTTTAAGTATATTTTAATGAAAATGGTCAAGCGCTTGCAATTTGTCTACACGGATATGAACCAACTAAGAAACACTGAATTGTCACATTTTATATTGTATAATTACATTTATTGATTTTAATCGGAATGAATTTTCAGTATTAATTCTTAAACATTGTTATATACAAATGTATAGTATTTACAAAAAGGTGCAAAACATATTAAAAACGGAACAACCATAACTTAAAAAACATGTTGAAAATAGTTATGAATAAAAAAAATACTGGACATACTCTGTCTCGATCCTACAACACGTTGAACATTCAGATAAAATATACCAGTGGTTTACCCTATTGCACTATAACGGTCAGCGTAACTAATTCATAAAAACAAGATGAATTTAATCACATCTTACTGCGCACATCTCACAGAATTTACCGAACTTTTATCGAATATTAATATATTCTGTGCATTGACCGTATAATCAGTATGGAATTGACAGGTTAATAAAATCAAACAATACTTAATTGTCTTAGCTACCCATATAATAGTAACATTGATGTCAATGATAACAATGAAGATTAAACAAATACAGGGGGCGGACAATCAGATCTACATGTAAGAAATAAGTAGATCTGAACTTAAGTCAGACTGGAAAGGACCTTTCTATAAAAACTGCATGCTTTCATAAACACTGATTGTCAGAAAGTATTATCGCCCATTTTGCATACTTTATCCCAGGATTTAATTTTAATTAGAAGTTTAAAAACATCATATCACATAAGTATTCATTGCACAGTTGGTATAATAATGACGATTAAACTTGTAAGCACTCAAATGTTCCACATACAGAAACAAATGGGAACAAGGGGACTCAAACCATACACCATATGGATGTGAATGCTAAGTGTTTCATCACTGAGGTAATTTGCCTTGTTACCTATTTGTTGTGATTGTCCAGAATTTTTGAGACACAAAATAATTTGAAACAGTGTATTTTGCTCAAGATATGGGTATTTTTCAGTGGTCTCCTTAACCCAAGAAATGTTGAACGGTTTAATACACCTCAAAGCTTCCTAAATAAAGGTTACTAATTTGTGTATACTAGCAAGACTTCATTCAAATAAATATTTTTTTTTTTTTTTTTAAATATTTTTTTAATATTTATTTATGTTCTTCGTAAATAAGAAAGCTACAGTGGCTTCGCCAAGCTCCGCTCATTTTTAGCTTTCTTATTTACGAAGAACACCCAATATGCACTGTAACCTAAACATAGTAAAAGTTTAGTACAAAGGTGCAAAAAATTAAAGTTCTCTCTTAGCCATTATATGGGAATTGTTGTAAATCATTTAGGAAATTAGATATCATAGGAAAATGGCTGTAGATTTTTTATTTTTCAATGGATTTAGTTGGGGTTTTCTTCTTTTAGTCCTTTATATGTATCTGTTAATTAAAACATGGGATTTATGCAATTTAACTTGATTTGTTTTGTTTCTTTGGGAGTTATATTTGTGTAAAATTATCACATTTTTGGTTATTTAAGATTTTTGGACATCATAGGAGATATGCTTAAACATTTTTAGTTCTTAGTGAAATCCTTTGGGGTTTTCTTAAATTAGTGAATTAGATATGTCTCTTAATTAATATTAACTTTTAACAAACTATGTTTCATGACCAGGTTGAGATTTAAGTAAAATTTCTTCTTATTTGAGTTTTTAGTGTGATTTTGAAAAAGTCACCCATCATAGGAAAATTACTGTATCTTTTTTAGATTTTAGTGAATTCTTTTGCAGTTTTCTTATTTTATTCAATCAGATATGTCTCTTAATTAATATAGTGGTTTGATTTTGTATAATATATTAGGTTTCATATCCTTGGAGGTTAAGATTTATGTAAAATTCTCTTTATTTTAATACTTTGGTGTAATTTTTGTACTAGTAACCTATTATAGGTAGATTGCTGTTATATTTTCATTTATCATTCAGTTTATTTAGGGTTTTTGTCTTTAAAGGGAAAGACAAGGTTAAAATAAAAACTTGATTTCAGAAAAAGAATACTATAAATAATAAGTCTGCAAATTTTCTGCCGCCAAATAATAATATTAAACGAATGATAACAAAATTTAAATCGCTAAATCACCGATTTCTACAAATCGGTAAGCGCGGCCATGTTTGTGTATTGGCCGTATAAAAACAGGTGCGCGTGATGTCATTTCCCCACATCTTTTAGATTCATGATAAATCTAGTTGAATCGTAAGGAAATATTAATATAATAAAGTATTGATCTGACAATTTAATTTTCACAGGAGACGTAGAGTAGATTTTTTATGGTTCAAAATACGTAACAATATCAAAAAAAAAAAAAAATAAATAAAAAATAAATTAAAGAAACGTACGGCTAGCCAAAGTTCTAGCCGTACGTGAGTCACGAACGACTAGCCAGGACGCACTGTATTGTCTAGCCGTACGGCAATTTTCAAAATTATATGGAAGTCGAACGTTATAAAATTGTTGATTTTCATGCTTATCATTTGTTCTTTAATATGTATGAATTATTAAATCATTTTTGTTAATTTTAAGCACATGGATCGAATAAAAAATGATCGGAGTGGAATAAATAAATATTGGCGTGTGGTGTTTTGTGCGATATCAAGAAAAGTAT